CCCTCAACTACATTTTGACGAGTGCAAATTTACGGGCACTGTAGTGTCCAATCATCTTTTACCTTCGAGTCACGAACGAAAAACTCGCCAATCTAACTCTTTAGGTTCAAGAAGATTGAACAGGGGAAGCTATTGTACCCCAAAATTTGCCCTCTCATTTTATCAAGATTTCCCCTCACAAGACTCATTGGACTCCAAACAAAATTAGGGTTTGCTCTGCTCAAGACATCTCCTTGCACTGATGACCTGAAATTAGGGTTTGAGTTTGCACAGGGATTTTTGGACTTCCAATTCTCAATGTGACTTTCATACTTCATGTTGGACCTATAAGATTGCCCATACCAAGTTTCAAGCCTTGAATCAAATTTTGCCCAGTCAATTGGACAGTTGACCTAGAAATCAACTGTATTGGGGAAAAAGTCAACTGTGGCCAATTTACAATCAAACCTTATAATTTTTTATCCACAACAACATTATAGACTCATATGGACCATTTGATCAAGTTTGGACCACAACTCCTCAAGAAATTTGATCAGATCATCAAAAGGGCAAAATAGTCACTTTTAGGGTTTTGACTGCAGAATGGCAATTTCTGATTTTTCACATAGCCAATGGAAAATTGGGTTCAAGCATGGTTTTAAGGACTCAATGGCATCATCTTGACCTAATCACAAGGTTTAAAAGATCTCAAATGCATTGGACTGACAAATGAATTTTCCAGTCAGCTGATCAAAAATCAACTGTACACTGAAGAGTCAAACTTTGACTTTTTGGTCAAAATCAAGTGCCAAGGGTCATTTTTCATCAAGATGTGTCAAAACATGAAACTTGTTCACCAAGAAACCTAATTTTCAAAATTAGGGTTTAAAATGGAAAATTTTCATAACTTAGAATTTTTCTAAGTTATGAAAATTTCTTATTTTTTCCTCAACTTTGCCCAACTTTTTCACCATGATGCAATTGGATTCAAACAAAACTTCCAACATCAAAGTTGTATTCCTCCATAAAATATACAACTTTGATTCACAAATTTTTCCCAAAAGATGCTTGGATCTCAAGTTATGATTTTGTGAATAAGGATCCATGAAACTTTTAACTTAGTGAAATTTTGCCCTAGTTTAGGCAGGATTTTGACCTATCTTCATGGCAACTTTTAACATAGTTCCAATTGGAATCTCAAAATGAATTTCAAATATGGATTGTAGGGCATGTTACAAGCTTTCCAAAATGTCTAAGAACTCTCCAAGATCATTTGTGGTTAGGGAGAATCGAAAGTTTGAAAATGGCAAATTATCACTTTTGCCCAAGGCATTTTGCACATTGATACAAGTTGCAAATCTGTCCAAACCTTGCTTGTACTTGGTTTACAGGTTCTAATCCTTTCTACACTCATAAATTAAATGAAAACACATTGGATTAAGGCTTTGTTCTGATCTATGGAGCATTACACATTGAATTAATCCATTTTTGACAAAAAGATAACAATGCCATTTTCATAAAGCACACTTTATGTCAAATTGTATTTCTTGAGCCATGGACCAAAGTTCTTGCAGCAAACAAAGTTCACTAATATCAGGAAAGGTGTACCAACTCTCAGCAGACTTGGTGCTAGCTTGTACAACCTTGGCATTGTCACTTCTCACCTTTTGCTTCAAAAACAAGAAACCTTGTAAAAACTCCACAACTCTTCAATCTGATAAAACCAAACTTTGTGCACATTTTAAACAAGTTCAACACGTTGTGCCAAGCCAGAAACACGAGCTAGAAAGTTCTCAAACCCTCCAAAACACCAAAACACAAGTTCTTGCAAAAACAGGGCAGGTTCTGCAGATTCACTTCCAAAATCAAATCCACTCGTGTGTTTTGTCCCAAACCACTTCAAACACATTCTAAACAATACACCTAAGTTGTCCAGACCATTCTCAAGCAACTGTAATCTTGTTTTCACACTTCACCATTTCTACTTTGAAACTTTGCAGGTTGAGTTCTACAAGCATATTCAGGCCATTTCAAAGCAAGCCAAGCATTGGGGAAGGTTGAGTGAACTTCAGGAAAGCTAACACGACCTTCAGGCCTTATCAAAAACCCCTATATTGCCATACTCGAGCTTGACTGAAACAAGTATTTGACAAACTTCTATCTCCTTATTTAGGAATCATTAGGCTTAGGTTTGTGAAGCAAAAATGTAGTCCTCATTGTCCTTGAGCTGTACATATGCATATAATCCATTTATGTTAACTGAGCTAGGAAATTCTCTCTGGTCTTTGAGAGTTAGATCAAGTTTTTTACATGGTTAGAATCGCGTGATCATGAGCTATAACTTTCATGTTGCAAGTTTTTATTTTTGAGCACGTATGCAGGAGTTCCAGACTTGAACATGGCGCGCGCGTTGTTTTTTCTGTCTCAAGGACAGGGATGAAGGAAACGTGGGCTGGGCTTGGTTTGGCTGACTATTGACACCCCCATCCTGCTTTTTGCACCCCCTTGGCCCATTTCTCTTATTTTTTATATTTTTTCATTTCTATTTTTATTTTCTGACTTTATTATTTTTTCTTGAACATTTAAAAACACAAAAATATTTTCTTTATTTTTTGGCATTTTATCATATTTTTATTTTATTTTTATTTACATAATAAATAATTATTAGGTTAATATTACTTTATTTTTCTAAATAAAATTGTAAAAAATATTAAATACTTACATATTTTTATTTTTATTATATTATATATATAAAAATATTATTTTCTCACATTTTAATTTTTTAACACTTTTATATATATTTTTATTTATTATCTTGTACATAAAAATAAATAAATAAATAATATAATATATTTTCTTTTAAAACCAAAAACTAGGGTTTATGCCCTTTCCAAAAATAATCATAATATTTTTCTTATTTTTTTTAGACATTAAATAAATATTTTTGTTTGCATACATAAAAATAATACAAAAACATTCTTTGCATATTTATATTTATTTGTACATTTAAATATTTGTCCATTTATTTATTTGTGCAATATTTCAATTTAGTTGTAATAATAGTTTTAGGGTTTATTTTTGAACAATATCCCCTTATTCAAACTTGTATCCCCTCCCCATATCAATGTTGTAATAGTCATAGATTTACTTTTACGCATTTTATCGCTTTCAAATGCATGATAGTAAGATTAGGTTTTGTATGACAGTCCGAAATCAAAACAAATAACATGACTAATATAAGACAAAAATGCATGAAAATGACAACACAATGCACACAAGCACCCCTAGGGTTTCATCCACTTGTTGCCTTAAAAACATGGCCATGGTATGCATGCTAGGTATCTTGGCAAAATCAAACAAAATAAAAAAGATCATAGTCCCTCGATGACGCTATCCTGGTTGCCTAAACAAAAATGATCTAGACCCTCAAAAACTTGCTAAGATACTTGGCACAATTGCTATCATGGTCATACGATGACCCACACCCGTCCCGTTTAATATCCAAACATAAGGTTGTTTACCAAATACAATGGTAAAACAACAATGTCAAAAGGGTTAAAAATATATAGGAAAGATCTTTGAGTAAGGTAGACAACTCCTAGTTACTTGATCAACTTGCAAACATCCTTGCTATTTTCAAACTATCACACAATTTCAAAACATTTCCCAAAATAAACTTTCAAACATTGAAACATTTTTCAAAAGACAAACACCTTTGTATACATTCAAACAAGAATCATTACAAAAGTTGCCTAAACAAAGGCCTCTTTTCAAAATACTTTCAAAACCACACACAAAAGCACCATTTCAAACAATTGGAAAAGCAAATCAAGTGATCTAAACAAGTAACTAAGAGCCCATGGAAAACCATGGATGAAAAGGGTGCTAGCACCTTCCCTTTTCATAATCTACCCCCCCGAACCCAAGAAAACATCTTAAAGGTATTTCCTGTGCTTTTTGACCTTTCCTTTGGATAAAATAAAAAGTCGGTGGCGACTCTTGCTAAACCGAAACATTTGCGAACACAAACGCAAAACCTCAAGTCAGTTCTCCCACCGCATCACACATATCTTAGTGTAATTCAAACACTAGTCTATCTTGCTAATTATACACACCATCATATATCAATTTCTATCACTCTATTAGCAAGATATAATTCTTCACTTACATGAAGACATTGTAACGAAGTCAAGCACATACTTCGTTATCTTAGGGGTAAATGAACATGAGTTTGTTTTATTCTAATGTATCCAAATTAGAATTAACAAGTTATGCATAAACACGTTATTTGTCATATCTTCATAATGGTAAATCACACATATTATTTGTTTACTTATAGTGGTAGAACTATTTCATCTAGACCCATGAAATAAATCATACTAACAACTTCATCTAATCATGAATAAATTTTCAGCACTACATGAGACAAGTCGAGAATGCGTTTGGTTGAGATCCCTAATTCAACATACAAAAAGAGACTTATGGTTTTACTTCTGAAAAAATAAATGCAACAATCATATATGAAGATAATACTGTATGCATCACTCAATTGAAGATGATTACATTAAAAAGAAATTGAACATAACACATTTTTCCAAAGATCCTTTTCACTCATGATCTTCAAAAAAAGTGGTGATATAAACATAAAACGAATTTGTTCATGTGATAAACTTTTCGACTTTTTCTCAAAGTTACTCTCAAACAGAACTTTTAGCTAACTAGTACAGACGATTGATCTTTATTATTAAAGAAATGATCGTTCGTCTAAGAGAAAAAAATTAATATATTATAAAAAAATATTATATTTTTTTTTTACTAAATTTTTTCCATCCGAATAATTTCTAATAAGATTTTAACGAGACGCAGACCCCTTTGTTATTTTTCAATTTTCATCCATATCAATGAACAAAAACAATCACAAGAAAAAGCGTGACGCATAAACCCCAAACAAAGTCTTCTGTAAAACAGTTGCGGCGAGAGTTGAAACAAGGCGACGAAAAAAGCAGTGAAGGAAGTGAAGAATGGCGACGGAACTCGAAGAACTCGTGAGCTTCCTATCTTCACCATCGCCACAGGTAAACCTTTCTTCAAATTTTCACACTGAAGTTGTTCAAAATATCACCCTATTCACACATATTGTTTAATTTCCCGTTACAGATCACAAAAGCCGCCGTTGACATAGTTCGCGGATTAACCGGCTCCGACGAAGGCATACATTCCTTATCCAATCAAGCAAATACCTTGATTCCCTCACTGTGCCGTCTCTTAACGGCACCCAAGGTAAACATATTATCACTGCCGTTAGGGTTTATACTTATTGTTTTGGAGTTGATGATGATGGGTTGTGTGTGTGGTTTCAGGAGGTTTCTGAGGCGGCTGCTGAAGCTCTTGTTAATCTTTCGCAAAATTCAAATCTCGCGGAGGAAATGGTTCGAATGAGAATTGTTGAAACCACAATGGATGTTTTGTATAAGCCGGAGTGTCGTGTTACTCGTTTGCTTGTTATGCTTTTGGTGAATCTCACTCAACTTGATGCTGGTACTGATTCCTTGCTTCAGGTGTGCTTTTGTTTTTTTATTTATTTTGAAAGTAATTTCGGCCGTTCCTTCAATTCAATTAGAAAAAAATAAAGAAGAATAATATTTTGGAAGTTGTCAAAACAATGGTTGATGTTGGGATAATTACATGGTGATTCGATTAGCAAAATGAAGTAAATAATCTCGAAATTGAATGGACAAATTCATCGTTTGTATTTCAATGCATACATGATTTGTTTTTCATGTACAAGTAACATCATTCATTGATTTATTTATCAAAAATTGACATTACTTTATCCTCTGCAATGAATTGCTCATTTTAAATGAGCCGGAAAAAAAAAGAAGGTAACAAAACTATGGAAATTTACAAAGTTAAAGAATGTAGACGGGGTGACGTTATTTGTTGTGTCGGAAAAAAAAGTTTAGTTTTTCCCTTGCTCGCTAACAGTTCACCATTTTCATCTGCTTATCAGACTGATGATGAGAAGGTGCGTGGATTATATGTTATGAAGCTTGTGAGATCATTTTGTAGAACCACCCACGAGAATAATGGTATGTCCTTCTGACTTTATATAACTAATTGTTTCGTTCTCATCGTTAAAGCTCTACATCTTTATTTTTTTTTTAAATTTTAATCTTAAGATGTTTCCATATTTCTTAAGAACTCCATGTGTTCATAAACTCCTGTCTGTTGATTGTAGCCTGTTTGAGTTCTTGGCGTATTATTGAATTGTGAATAGTTTATTCTATGCCGAGCATCTGAGGCACCTGTTACTAGAGGATTAACATTCAAATTTGTCTAAAATACAAAAGTAATGATTGTAATGAAACATATAACTTGTGTTCAACAGTTTGTGAATAGTATTATTAGAAAAAATGTCATTTTAATTTGTACTGTTGACTTTGTTGATAATTGTCCCCTAATTGTCATGCTGATTCAACGGATTGTTTTTTACCAGATGATTCTTTTGAACATGTTGGTTCCATACTTGTTAACATCACAAAGCAGCGTGCGGGGAGGGAGCTTCTACTTGACCCAAAACGGTCTCTATTAAAGCAGATAATTAGACAGTTTGATTCAAATAGTTCATTGAGAAAGAAAGGGGTATGTGAAAAATAACTGCACAGTAAATGCTTTCAGTTTCCTCCTTGGAAAATGTTTGATTTGTGGGTTTTTAGAAGTTTTCTATATTTAATTGATCTGATTTTTCAACTAGTTTTGAAAGAAGTGGTCAAAAGATGATTTATTGCGTTGACAGATAATAGACTCTAGAAAGATGTATAGTATTAATGGTTATATAATATATGAAAGATGTAGAATAGAACAACAATGGATGGAGCTACTACTCCTTGCTGTAATGACAATTACAAGGAAAATGAAAACAATGTTCCCACAATGAGAATATCCCTACTTGTGTGAGGGTGAGGAAGATTCCCACTCCCAGCCTCAATTCTACTCCAAATCCAGCCTCTCCGCATCATGTGTGACCTCCCCCTTTTGACATCTCTCCTTCATTCCTCCCATGCTTCCCTCCACTCCTTGGTTGCCACGTGTGCAGTTTGTTATGTCCTCTTCCTAATTCCCTTTTTTACCCCTCCTCCTATACACAAACTTCATAGGTCTATCAACAGTTTTCCTTGCTGACGGTTTAGTGCTTGGCAAAGTTAAACATTATGGCCTTTAAAAGGATCATTTAAACTGATTATATAAATTTATAATGTGCAACAGATACATGGTCTTGAGTCTTGAGTCTTGTTTGGTTCTTGCTGAATCTTAACTTAATGGATTTGTCTGAGATATGGCTTTATGTTTACCAGTTTCCTCAGAAGATAACATTGATTTTTGTGATTATATTCTGTTGTTACTTATTATTACTTAGGGCCAAGCTTACATTGGTAGTTCTTTTTCGGTCAATGCTAAAAAGTTTATGGGATAAATTTGCCAAGGACAAAATTCTATAAGTTTGGGTCTTTCCTCACCTAAAAATTGTTGTGGTAATGCAATCAGGTCTCAGGAACTATTCGCAACTGTTGTTTTGAAGCCGAGAATCAGCTACAAAATTTGCTTTTGGTATCAGAGTTCCTATGGCCTGCATTACTTCTTCCAGTAGCTGGAAACAAGGTAACTTGCTCTACTTTTTCTGACCTCAACATTAATCTTTTGCATATTGAGGAATAAGTATTGTTCAACCCAACCCAAAAAACATTTAAGTGCTCAAAATAGTTAACTTGAATCACTTTCCACTTGGTAATGGCCGTAGTTTGCTTCATGTCTATCTGTACATTGTCTCCTATGTCCATTTGGGTCTGTCTTGTTTTTTTACGAGGTTAAATGTTATTTATTTCATTGGCCTCAGAACTTAGAGCAACTTGATCTTGTGGCATACTTTCAGAATGTAATCTTGAGGGCTTAAATTTGTTTCCTGTTTCATCTTTCATGTCTCATGTCACTTGCATTGATGAATAACTTTTTATGCAGATCTACAGTGAGGAGGACAGAAAGAAAATGCCACTCGAACTTGGGAGTGTACTTTCGATCGAACGTGAACCAGTTAATGATCCGGAAATCCGCACTCAAGTATTGGAAGCCATATACTTGATCTTATTGCAAGTAAGTTAGAAATTTTTACACCTTTTTCTCCTCAAATTATTCTTTTCTTCTTTACTGCATATGCACTTTGAAGACAACTTGTTTTCCCCAAATCTGTGCTTTGGGACATTATACACTGAAACAATAGTCCCTCAGAATCTTAATACAATATTTACATTTGTATGCGCGTGCGTGCACACATTTGACAGAATTGATTTGCTCGCTCCCTGGCTCTTTCCAATTTCTAAGCCCACTAGATTTGTTGTAAGTCAGATTCATGTTTCCAGCATTCCTTCAGGCTTTGCTCAGACCCAATTTCTCCTCGGCCTGCAGAGTAACATCCATCATTTCTGCCAAATCTTTGGGTTTTTGCAGCCTCACTTCAGCCCTAACTTTCTCCCTCAATCCATTAGAGATCATTCCTAAGATGAGTTCTGGATCTTGTTGGATCTTCAAATACCCAGAAAGTGCTTCAAAACTCCTTTGAAATTCCCTCACCGTGCTTTCTTGTTTCAGCTCCAACATCATCTCCACCACATTCGAAACCACCGTGGGTTGAAACCTTCTAAGCATGACATTCTTGAATTCACACCAATTGGGTGTTGTAGTGCTTGGCTCCCACCACTGCATCCATGCGAGGGTTTCTCCTTCCATCGCCATCAATGCAGCGCTCAGCTTGTACTCCTCAAGCAGTTGCCTAAATCGAAAATAACGCCCAACTTTCCAATCCATCTCGGTGCGTCTTCTCCACTAAAAAGAAGGTAATTCCACCTCTGATGCCTTCTTTCTGATTCACTCTGCGTGGATCAACTCCCAGTTCCAAGTCCGTCATTGGCATCCCCAAAATTGTTTCTTCCTCCACCGTTACCAGTTTTGAGGTTTGAAGTCATCGTTGGGTCCCCTTGTTGCTGGTTCCCCATGATGAGCATTTTCATCGCTTCAAGAATCTCTGTCTTCATAGTATCCATTCTTGCTTCAAACCGTCTTTCCACTTCCTCTGGTCAAAGCTCCATTGTGGTGGAGTTTCTGTTCTTGTGCACACCATAAATCACTCCAAGATTGTGTTGCTCTGATACCAGTTGAAAGGTTCAATTGGTACAAGGGAAAAAAGTAAGAATTCTCCAGGAATTATATGAGTATGGAATAAGCCGGCTGATTCGAGAATGCCACTCCAATTACAATTGAGTTCCAAAAACTAACTCCTTTTCGTCCAATTACTGTTTATAATTCTGTTCTGCTAAGAGAATTAGTTATTCTTCTGTTATAACTGTTACTATTATGTATAATTCTGTTTTACTAAAAGAATTAGTTACTCATTTGTTACACACCCTACTAACAGCATGTCTACTGACAAAATAGTCCTCCCCTCCCCTCCAAAATGCCCCTCCCAAGCAGACCCTTAAATTTTGTCTCTTTGCTTTATTTCTAAGTTTTTTTTCAAGATTACTAGTTATGTTGTATATTTACTATGCACATAGTAAATTATATTTATATAATTGGATGGATACTGTAAATACTATATTTGTATCAAATAAACTGTGACAACTTTACAGCTCTATGGAGACTTTACGTGTGTACATAGATTCTCTTGTTTGACAACCTTTGGTATGGGAAATTGGGGAAATTTTACACTGCTTTCTGTAAATTGCATACTGGTATATTCCTTCTCAATGCATCAGGTTTATGTTGTGAGCTGCCATTTTTTGCAGGAGGCGGGTCGAAGGGCCTTTTGGTCTGTAAACGGGCCTAGAATAGTACAAGTCGGTTACGAAGATGAGGAAGATCCAAAAGTGATGGGAGCGTTTGAGCAACTAGGATCCTTGGTATTTTTTTTCCTTTAACCTCCTCCCTAATCCTCATTTTTCTCTTGTAATTTTATTATGTTAATCACTTGCATGTTACTGACAATTTTTTTGATCCAGCTGGTTAACGGCAGCGGTATTGAGGAACCATCCACTGAGACGACACAATAGTTATACTTTATTTTTGTTCTATGTACACAACACATATCTCCATAAAAACTCTCGTTGTGAAGGTAATTCAAGTCCGGTTTTCTATTTTGAATTTGGAATTACCATTTTTCAAATGTGTAAATTATGTGACTTAGAATAGTTTGCAAAATTGTTTCATGGCCAGTGAGAAATGCTCTTGATGTTGCTAAAGTTCAGTTTACTATTTCTGTTTCTGTATTTGGATTCTCCATCGTAGTGCAAGTGTGAAGTTGATAAGGAAATTTATCATGATTGCTTGAAGGATTAAAAGCCCATTTTTGGTGTATCAATGTTGAAATCACATAATTGAGTCCTAAGAAATTCAAATTGAAGATATACCTATACATGAATCATAGAAGCGAGTGTATGTATGACGAGGTTAGAAATTTACATAAATTTGTTGGCTACAAATACCGTCACGCGACAATTTTGGTGTGATAAAAGTAATAAATAATGGGATCCTCTAATTATTTAGTTTAAGATTTGGTTCTTGAAAATGAAGGTTTTTTTTAGTGGAGGTTGAGTAGAGGTAGCAAACAGCCATGTCTGCACTATTTAAGTCTGTTTTGCAAAAATCTGTAGAAAATCGTGGTAGGGTGCAAACATAAAACTTTGATTTGCTCTTAGGGATGACAATTGGATGGTACCCACAAAATTTATCCACGATGGATAGGATAAAAATCTATAAAATGGGTAGGCTCAAGCAATGACCCATTAAAATAAATGTGTATACAAATATCTTAATATCCATCCAGCCCTGTGTTTGTAATAATATATTGTTCTGGATTGAGTCTGCCCTGACCCAAGAGCAAGAACGAAGGCCCAATCCAAGCAACTCTTCAAGGAGCGCGCGCTCGTGGATTCCCGCCAGCTCGTCGACCAGAAGCTGCAGCCGTGCTCGCTGTTACCCCGCGAACATGGTGTCCTCGACCACGTGAGCTCCAGCTCGAGCACCCTCCTCGTAGGGCAGACTCTGACCGTTACCAAATCACTTGAACTCTGGAAAGTCCGTGTCCTCGTCCCTCCTCATTTCTCCCAGAGCATCACCAGGAAGGAGACCACGTGCGGGTCTCCACTACACACGTAAACCTGGCAGTCCTTTTATTGGGCCAGTCTTGGTCGGCCCAATGAAAGGATATTGGCCCCGCGCTGGGGGTTATAAATACCCTCTGTTCCCAGAGGGTCAGGTATTCATTCTCTTACCCATACATACACTTTTTGCTTGCTCGTACCATCACTCACTTTAGCATCGGAGTGCCTTGCAGGTACCCCCATCTCGTTCAACTTCCGCTCAGAGCCAGTCGTGACAGTCTAAGTCTGATCAGGTAAGATCAGTGGCGCCGTCTGTGGGAATCTAGTTTCCCCGTCTTGCAAAACCTCGAAGACCAAAGCTCAAATCACCTCCTACCGTCATGGCTGACCAAGTTCGTGATGACCAAAACATCCGCGTCGTCGACACTAACAACGACCTCGCAAATAAGAATGGACTCACCGACAACGCCGGTATTCCCGGTCATAACACACTCCCCGGGGGCGCCAACCCCAGGCCCTCAGTCCACCGCGACGGAGTTACTGCATCATCCTCTTCAGTCCCTCCGCCGCTCGAAGAAGACAACGCATCTCCCACAAGCCACCGAGCTGCCCAATTTCAGGAAGTCCCTGTCCCCCGCCGGGGCAGATGTCACAACCCGCGCGCTATTCGCGGCGATCAATCAGACGAATTACCTCATCTTCGCCCAAGGGGAAAGATTGAGGGCACTGGAAGACGACCGAAGACCCGCGAGGAGGCACAGGAGGCCCCAGACTCCACCTCCTCGAGTAACAGAGGTACATCTCCCGTCTCCCCTGCGGAGACAATACATAGACGCCTCCCGAAGCCCGTCACCCCCGACCCTCGGGGAGACGACCCCCTTTGGAGAGGCAACCCGTCATTGAGGTCAGAGGGCGCGGCCACACCCTCATACGTCAAGAAAGAAGACACTCTGGAGACGGGCACAGAAGAATCAACCAACGAGCACCACGCTCGAGGGATGCCCAACACGACCAAGACCGTCGGGCTCGACAATATTACAGGTCCCCATCCCTTTCCCCGGAGCGAAGTGACGAGGACGACCCCTGCGGTCCCCTGTCACAAGCCATCATGGAGGCGCCCATTCCCCCCGGGCATGGAGAAGCCTCCACATCTGAAGGAGTACGACGGAGTCGCGGACCCAGTCGATCACAAAGACGAGTTCGAGACTATGCTGCACTACCACAACATCGGGGGACCCATCAAATGCCGACTCTTCCCCACGACCCTCAGAAAGGCAGTAATGGATTGGTATAAAGGCCTCGCTCAGGGATCAATCACCTCGTGGCGAAACCTGAAGAACCAATTCATAAGTTTGTTCGTTCACTGCGTCTCGACGACACCCAAAGACCGAGGCGGCTCTCGAGGCCATCATCCAGAGACAGGATGAAACCTTGAGAGAGTTTATTAATCGCTTCAATCGCGAAGCCATATAGGTCCCCTGCGCGGACCACATGAAAAGATATTTGCTGGAGAGTGGGCTCTTCCTCGGCACAAAATTCAGAAAGGCAGTGGGCCTCGAGCCACCTAGAACATTCGATGCCCTCCTCGAGAAGGCCCGGGCGTATATGGATTACGAGGAAAGGGAGGCGACCACCGGGACCTCAGGACTCGCGGATCCAGCAGCAACCCGCGCCAGGAAGCTGCTCCTCCTCGACGAACCGGGGATAAAAGAAAAGAGGACAGACCCCGAGAAGCCCGAGAGCAAAGAGGACCCTCAGGGCGTTTTACCGAATACACTTCGCTCACAGCTTCCCGCGAGCGCATTTTGGCGGAGTGTGCCAGCACAAACTTTAAAGACGGCAACGTCAAGCGCCCCCGACCTGCTCCCGCCAAGCCCGGAGCAGACAAGAGCAAGTACTGTCAGTACCACAGGAGCCATGGTCATCTGACTGAAGATTGCGTCCACCTCAAGGACGCTATCGAAACCCTCATCAAGGGAGGGAGGCTCGCCCAATACCGGCAGAGTACGAGGCCCTGCTCGCAGGACTAAGGCTAGCCGAGGACCTGGGAGCCCGCGAGATACAAATCTTCACGGACTCACAACTCGTTGCTTCCCAAGTCCAAGGGAGTTACCAAGCCAAAAACGACAGCCTCGTCGAATACTTAAACTTAGTCAAAAAACACATGACAAAGTTTGAGCGAGCAGAAATATCACACGTCCCGCGCAAGCAAAACACAAGGGCAGACATATTGTCCAAACTCGCAAGCACGAGAAAGAAGGGCGGAAACAAGTCCGTTATACAAGAATCCCTGTCACGCCCGAGCATCGAAAGGTCCTCGACACCCGTCGAGGTACACGCCATAGGAGATGCCTCGTCCTGGATGACCTCGGTGTACAATTTTCTGACAAAAGGAGAACTCCCCTCAGACCAGACAGAAGCAACCATCACGAAGCGACGAGCATGCTCCTACGTGGTGCTCGAGCACAAACTATACCGCAGGGGATTCTCCATCCCCCTCTTGAAGTGCATCGACGAATCCACAGTCCCCGAGGTGCTGCAGGAGATACACGAAGGGATTAACGCCCAACACATGGGTGGTAAGTCCCTGGCGAGGAAAGCCCTTCGAGCGGGGTACTATTGGCCGACAATGCAGCAGGACGCCAAGGAACACATTAAGAAGTGTGACAAGTGCCAGAGGCACGACGACATGCACCTCGCTCCCCCTCACGAGCTGAGCATACTGTCATCCCCGTGGCCGTTTGCGTGGTGGGGGATGGATATCCTCGGTCCTTTCGTGCAAGGAACTTACCAAAACAAGTTCCTCATTGTGGCAGTGGATTACTTCACGAAATAGATAGAGGCCGAGGCTCTCGCGAAGATCACCTCGCACAACATCCTTCATTTCTACAAAAGAAACATCCTCGCCAGATTCGGGATCCCGAGAGCACTGGTCACCGACAACGACACCCAATTCACCGACCACGGATTCCAAGACTTCGTCACCAAACTGGGAATAAAACAACACTTCACCTCGGTCGAGCACCCTCAAACCAACGGGCAAGCCGAGGCCGCTAACAGAGTCATCCTTCGAGGACTTAAACGCCGGCTCGGTGAAGCTAAGAGAGGCTGGGTCGAGGAGCTGCACAATGTCTTGTGGGCATACCGCACCACGCCCCATTCGACGACGGGCGAGACCCCCTTTCGACTAACATACGGCACCGAGGCCGTCATCCCAGTAGAAATCAGGGAACCCTCCAGGCGGACAGAAAATCCCCTCGACGAAGAAATGAACGACGAGGCACTCAGGGACGAACTCGACTTAGTCGAGGAAATTCGATCGGGGGCGGCCCTGCGCGAGGCTACCCTAAGACAACGAGTGGCCCTATGTCACAACGACAAGGTCATTAAACGCGATTTCGAGATCGACAGTCTGGTGTTACGAAGAAACCAGAAAGACTCCCGCGAAGGGAAATTGGCCGCGAACTGGGAAGGGCCTTACCGCGTCCACGACACCACAGGTACCCGGGGCATACTACCTCGAGCAGCTAGACGGAGAACCATTACCACGACCCTGGAACGCTGCTAAACTAAAGCAGTACTATAGTTAAAAAACCCTTAACACCAAGGACTCTCGTCGTCGAACATCCAGTCAACAGAGAGAAATGTCTCGACCACGTAGATAGGCCAAGGTACAAGCCCAATCTACGCCCAAACGACATAACATCGTTCAGCCAAACGAGCACGAACGACAGTGCCCGACATGGACACCTCACTCGAGCTCCACCGTCGAAGTACCCATATGGCAGGACACCCAACTCGCGATGGGCAGTTCACGCCACGAGCAAGCGACCCCGACCTGGGTCATACGCCCGAGCAAGCGGCCTTACTCCGCACGACGATGCATTTCGAAGTCCGTCGGACCACCAAATGGGTCGAAAGAATCTCCACTCGAGGACGTAACTTAGGCAAATTTTGCCTCAAAATACCAGCCCGAGCACAAACGTGACTCGAGGATGTAACTTAGGAAAATTTCGCCACAAAATAACAAGCCGAGCACATGCATGCCCCGAGGAAATAACTTAGGCATATTTCGCCACAAAGTAACAGTCGAGCACAGGCGAGACTCGGGGACATAACTTAGGCAAATTTTATCACAAATATAAAAACTTAGACACGAGCAAATATTAAGAGCAAATATTAAAGGTCAAAATAAACATTCATTCAAAAGGCTCGTAAGCAAAGACAAACAAAAATAAACCGACCAAGAAGGCCGACGATGTTCAGAAATTACAGGCACGGGCACGCAGGCCCCAAAAAATATGCACGGGCACGCAGGCCCCAAAAAACAACTATCAATAAACAGGCACGCAGGCCCGACCAGAATTCCACGGCTAGACTTCCCCGGGGCTACCAGCATCCACGACAGGAGACTCGGGAGGAGGCACGACCTGACCGTCGATGATCTGGGACATGAAACCCACCCCCTCGGTATTCAGACCCGGATTTAATAAAGTGAGCTGGCTAACCGCGGGCCTCAAAACCATCCGCCAAGGCGCCAACACAGTTCGTTTCGAGGAGATGGATGTGCGCGACCAGATCTGAGCGACTCCGCAAGGGTGCTGTCTCCTCCGACTCATCTTCAGCGGGGAGCATGGCGACCTTCATATCATCGACTTCTTTAGCCATACGCTCGTTGTCGGTCTCCAAGAGTTCCCGGTCTAGTCGAAAACAGTCCATCTCCTCGGCGACCTTCCCCGAGTTCTCCTTC